TCTAATACAACACTTACACTTACAATTGCTTTTGATGCAGCCGTTAGCTTAGATCCAATGATGTTCTCACGTAACGTTCGCACATAAGCGTTCTCACCTGATCCAAACCGTTTGAGCCAATAGCTTCTATAGCAGTCGAAGCAATCGCAATCGAATATTTGGGGCTGGTGGGTGCTGGTGCTAGTGGACTTGGGGCCTTTCTTGGAAGATTTCTTCTTGGGGTCTTGGGCCGGGATCGAAGAAATATTGGGGGTGGTTTTCATGGACCGGGTTATCAAGTAAGCCAAGACCTCGCGGTCCTCGAGGGAGAGGACCGAAGCCAGAGCTAAAATGGCAGCTGGGAGGAGCTGAAGCACAGAGAGAACAAACCCATCAGAGTTGGATGAGGAGGAGGAGGAAGAAGAAGGAGATGGGTGCACTTTGCCTTTGTTCTTTATATTCATGGTGTTTGATGTTTTGCTTGTGTGGAAGAGAGAGTGGTAGGTGATGAAGCTGGATAGGGATTCTGGGAAAAAGATGAAAACTTAAGAGAGAGAGAGAGAGAGAGAGAGAGTGATGAATAGTGGTGGGGAATGGGTGAGGTCGAAGCCCTAAATCCACAATTTTTAAAAGATAATTTTTAATTTTTAAGCTTTTTTCTTCACACATGGCATTTAGTCTAGTTAAATAGTGGGTTCCATTAGTGCCACATAAGCTTTTTTAACATAATTTTTAACATAGTTAACAGTGGGGGCAAAGTGAATTACTAAACCTTGATAAGAGGGGCATTCTGAGTTACTTCAACTTTCAAATGATAAAATAAAATTTGACAATAATTTCAGGCATTACAATAATTAAGCCTTCAAATTATCAATCAAATCTCACGAACGCAATAATTAGCCAAATGAGTAGCTTTAATAATCCCATCACTAGACTCCCTTCATTTCAAAACCACATCACTTTGAAGTCGCTTCATTTCAAAATCCCATCACTTTTTAACTCCCTTCCACTTCAAAGTGCCTCGTCCAAACACAACCTAAAAGTTTGAATTGTATACAATCCAGATTGTAAAAAATACAAACGCGGCAACAAAGGAAAACACAAGAAAGAAGAAGATGACAAAAGAAAAAAACAAAAAGGAAGCTACAAGAACCGAAACGTGTCACATGCTGGACCATTCTGATTTCCAATCAACAAAGAGAAACAGACACACAAGCGAAAAGTCAGACATATTGACACAGAAAAGTCCAACTCTCATGGCTGCTGAGTCATGACAGAAGGAAATACTTGGCGACTTCTGAATTAATTAATTGCAATTGCAACTTGCAGGTCTCTGTACTCATTTATCTGTCACTTTCCTGATTTTCTATTGCCCATCCATTACACAATCTTTGTTGATTGAGTCGAGTTTCTTCTAATTTCTGATATGAAAAAATGGCACTTTCTTCCTCCTGTGGATCAGACGCGCTCTTAGCGATTCTCTCGCACTCAAGATCCGAAGCTTGCAATCGAGTTCTTCTCAGGGACTTGGCCAACAGAGAACTCAATGCTTTCCTTTGGTTTTCCCTCATCGGGGTCACCGCTTTCCTGCTCAGCAGGGTTGTTAAGCTGCTCTACTTATGGGCCAAGGCCAGGTCAATTCCTGGGCCTCCATGTCCCTCTTTCTACGGCCACTGCAAGCTCATTTCCCGCGAAAATTTTACTGGTCCGTGCAGTTTTCACTCTCTGACGCCTTTTCTGTTTCGGGTTTTATTTTTGTTTTTTGGGTTTTTGTAGTTGACTAGAGTACTTAGCTCCGTGGGGTTTAGTTCAACTTTTGCGTTTGGTTGCTGGCGTATGAATCATGAATGAAAGTGAAACTTTGGCTTGTCCCTGTTCTTGGGGTTTCAGATTCTGGGTTTTCATCAAAATTTCAAATTGAAGTAAACACCTGTAATATATGTGAACTTAAAATTGATTGGTTTTGTTAGGTTTATGAATTCCCAAAAAAATGAAGAAGTTGAGGAGTATAAAATTAATATTTGGTTTTGGTTAATTGTCAATTTGTGTTATGGATAGGGTGAGAACAATCTAACCCATTTCTCTTTTCTTTTGGCATTGATCAGAAGTGTTGTCGGATTTGCACAAGAAATATGGGTCTGTTGTCAAGTTGTGGTTGGGTCCTACAAAGCTTTTAGTGTCAATAAAGGATCCAACTCTCATCAAAGAGATGCTACTAAAGGCTGCTGATAAATTGCCTTTGACTGGGAGGGCTTTCCATTTGCCCTTTGGAAGGTCAAGTCTCTTTGCTTCCCCTTTTGAGAAGGTATGAGCTCTGTTTTTTGCCCCTCTTTTACTGCTTTTTATACTTGTGTACTCGTAATGTTTAGAAAATTATTGTGTTATACCAATACTTTGTGTCTGCATTGAGATTGCAAAAGAAAAAAAAAAGTTATGTCAGAAAAAAAAAAGGTGCTTGTGTTTCTGTTTCTCTACGTAGGTGCTACCACTCAGAATGTTAAATGTAGCATCAAGACTCGAGAACGATAGGGACTGTCTGAAGGCAGTAAACTAAAAAACCTTCCTTATCATCAGCTTATCGGCTGGTCTTCCTTGAAAAACTTGGCAAAGGGAAAAGGGAAGGAAAAAAAAAGATCAATAAACTGAATTTGTTGATCTAACTGAACCATTGATTTGTTGGTCTAACTGCTGGTTCTCCTTAGAGATTGTCTGTATCCCAAGAAAGAATATTAGTTCTCTTTATCTTACATACTTAAAAGGCTTTTAAATTTAATATGTTACTACCATGTTGCAATGGCGAAAATGTTCTTCCCCATTTAGTCCCAAACATTAGTTGGTCTATATGTCTAACATATTTAATCAATCACCTTTGTGGTGACCACCCAGCACTGACAGTTCATAGTAATGTCATCACATCCAACAAACACAAGACTGTTTAATGAAAGGAGTGAGTTGATTCAGTTGATTGGGCAAACAGGCGTAACAAGTGTATTGAACACAGAGAGAGGAAGTAGAAGAAAGGGGAGGGAAAGAAGATGTAGGCAGTAGAACGGGAATAACTAGAAAACTAGTGCAATAAATTAGCAAACTCTGCAGCCTTATTAAAAAAAGGACTTGTACATAAGTAATTCCAAAATAACTAACTACCTGAAAAAAAAAACAATAATTAATTCATATTTTCCAATAATAAAAACAAATGATAACTAAATTCGTAAATTCTAACTACAAGAAATAGAAAGATAAAATAAGCCTAATTTCAGGAGTACATATACCTTAATTAAAAACAAATTTTCTTCTGTCATCTATTAAAAATGAGAAAATATAATAAAGTTGCAAAATAACTTTTGTAATGCTCTGGAATGAAGAAGTTTTAGTTAGATAGCTGCCAATATAGTACTTATCGAAGTCCTTTAGAAAGGCTGGAGCGATGGTGGTAAGTCGCATGTCACATTGTCACTAACTGATAATATCTTCAACCTGTTTGTATCAAAGTAAAAGTCTGCCATCTCCCAAACGTAATTTAGTGCATCATTTATTTGTTTTATCATATGATGATGGCTCTGAGTCTTGTGTAATTGTTCTCAAGTTCATCTGGTAGCATTCATAGTTTCTCCTTAAAGGGTATTTCTCATTTGCAGGTGCAAAAGGGAAGGGAAGCATTATTCACAGAATTAACTGGAAAGTTTCCTGAGAGAGAAAATGTGGTTTGTACAAAAGCTGTGGACTGTATCTTGGAGAGGATACAGAATTTTATGGCTAAAGGCAGCGTTGACAGTAAAATGGTTTCTCAGCATATGGCTTTTACCATTTTAGGAGCCACGCTCTTTGGAGATGAATTTTTGGCTTGGTCCAAGGCAACTGTATATGAGGAGCTCTTTATGATGATTGCTAAAGATGCTTGTCTCTGGACTTCTTATAATGTTACTCCGTTTTGGAAGCGTGGATTTTGGAAGTACCAGTCTCTATGCACAAAGTTGAAATGCTTAACGCAAGATATTATTCAACAGTGCAAAAAGAACTACATGCTATTTGGTCATATGGATCATAATCTCCGTGGTGAAACAGAAATCTTGGGAAAGGAGGTTGCATCTGATGGACCATCTTGCTCTGAAGTTGTGATAGTAGATGCCTTATTCTTTCAGGAGCTTAATGGCCATCTTAATGCAACGGAAGAGGAACCATGCGGGAATCTTATGAGGATTATGTTCCATGGATGCCTTACCACAGCTTGTTTGATTAATAATATTTTGGTGAGCCTTGGTATGCATCCACAGATACAGGATAAGGTAGCTGGCTCCCTTGTCTTCTTTCTCCCTCTCTCTCTCTCTCTCTCTCTCTCTCTCTCTGCTTAGCTCTCTTTCTAATGTTTAATGTTTCTTCTTGAAATTTATTCTGTGAAAGCTGACATTTGATCTAGTTGAGTGTAAACAACGCATCTCTTTATGTACTCCTTTTTTTTTTTTTTCACACATTTTGCTTAACATCTTTGTTTTTATTATTTTTCCTAATCCTTGTTGAACTCTCTGTCCACATCCCCAAAAGAAATTATAGGAAACACCCAGCTCCTTGTTGTTTGAAGAAACCCTCCGTTTGCCCTATTAGGGATGTTGCTCTTTCAAATTAAAAATAATGAAAAAAGTGATAATAATAATAATAATAATAATAATAATGATAATAATAATAATACTAACTACTACTCCTATGGGTGCACTGGATTGCTTTCTTTGACTTAACCCTATCCAACAATACTAACCTATATCATGTAAGGTTCTGATCACCCATGGGACATCCCGTTTATAAATGTCTTTTCTTGTTTCTTTGACAAAATGTTTTTTTGATCCCATATTTGTGTATGTCTAGTTTCTAAATATATTTTTAATCAGTGTTTCAATTAAAAGGGACATGGATTTGTGGTAACCTGATTGAGTCTAATACTGCTGCTTTTGGTTGCTCGTTGTAAAATTGATGATTATATCTTTCTACATTAAGCTGTTATGATCCTAAATCTTTTTATTTTATTTTATGTATCTAAAGATCTACTCAGAGATAACCATGGCACGAAATGGTTCAATTAAAAAAGACCAACTGAATGTTGATAAGATGCTCTTATTATTGGCAACTATTTACGAATCTGCTCGTCTTGTGCCAGCTGGATCTTTGCTACAGAGATGTTCTCTCACACACGGTACACTTCTCACCATTTTGTTCATAAATTTCTGTATGAAAATATCACTCTCTCTACCTCTGTGTTTTAGTGTTTTTGTGTAAGGGGGTCTAATGGTGGTTTCTCTGTGATGCCCAAAAAATCCAAATATGTTTAAATCTAGAGCCGTGAGATTAATTTACTGGATGAAATTCAAACCCTTTTTTTATGAAATAAAACATGAAGTCGAATAACCGTTCAATAACAAGAATTAATGACCCAGGAAAACCAAAACCAGGAATACAGATCCATATGAAGACA